GTCTCTGCCCTTCCGGCCCCGGATCCCGCTTCTGCCCGACCGCCTTGCGCCCGCAGCGTGTCAATTTCACGGCTTGCATCTTCCGCCTGCCATCTTAGATTCGCCCCGTCCAGCTATTGGTTTCAAATGCCTTATTAAAATGTGTGTTGTTGTATTTTTCAGTTTTGATTTGTGCAACGCAAATGGGCAGTTGTTACACGCTGACCATTTGGTTTAGTACAGCGGTTCTCAACCTGTGGGTCGCGACCCCTGTAGGGGTGAAGGACCCTTTCACAGGGATCGCCTAAGACTATGGAAAACAGCCAAAACCGGTTTGGCTCAGCGGATAGAGCGTCGGCCCGCGGACTGAGGGGTCCCAGGTTCGATTCCGGTCAAGGGCATGTACCAGGGTTGGGGGCACATCCCCAGTAAGAGATGTGCAGGAGGCAGCTGATCGATGTTTCTCTCTCATCTATGTTTCTGACTCTCTATCTCTCTCCCTTCCTCTCTGTAAAAAATCAATAAAATATTGAAAAAAAAAAGACTATGGAAAACACATATATAATTACAGATTGTTTTTTGATTAATCACTATGCTTTAATTATGTTCAATTTGTAACAATGAAATTGGGGATCACCACAACATGAGGAACTGTATTAAAGTGTGATGAATCACTATGCTTTCATTATGTTCAATTTGTAACAATGAAAAGACATCCTGCATATCAGATATTTACATGACGATTCATAACAGTAGCAACATTACAATTAGGAAGTAGCCATGGAAATAATGTTATGGTTGGGGGTCCCCACAACACCAGGAACCGTATTAAAGGGTCGCGGCATCAGGAAGGTTGAGAACCGCTGGTTTAGTGTCTTCAAGTCCTGCTGGCAAAGTGGACTTTAACTGGGGGAGGGCGAGGGCAGGGCCCTGCTTTTGTCTGTTCCTCTCCCCCTGCTGCTGGCTGGGGGGCCGGCGGGGATCCCCAACCACACTCAGCATCGGCCTTGTCGGGGCAGGGGCACCCCGGTGCTGACAGCCCAGAAATCGGGCTCAGAACTGCCTTTCGGGGTCCCCTCTGCCTACCGAGCAGACGCACCCCCTGACCCCCAAGATGCCCCCAGCCCAGCTCAGGACCTGGACGCAGGGAGGAGGCCCCGGGAGCTGACCCCGAGGATGAGGCCCCGAAAAACCGTGCACTGGATTCTCTGCGTTCTCCTGCAGGAATGTTCTTGACCCGGTCATGCTGACACTCTAATAAAAGCTCGTGGAAAATAAAGGGCTGTGATTTCGTAAAAAGAAAAATAGACTCACTCTAGAAATGTGTGGGTTTTGGGGGTGTTGTGTTTTTTTTGTGCCTTTGAAGTTTAAATTTTCTCTTTGCTAAGGTGTGTTGTGTTGTTGAGGTTTTAGATAGGGGTGCCAGAATTTAGATTTGGGATAGAGGTAAACAGCTTAAAACGCAGAAAAATCTCCCAGTGTTCCACTAGCTCTGACTAAAGAGGTCAGTTATACTGGGTACACTGGTGCTTAACTGGCAAATAATGCTGCCCCAATATTAATTTGAAATTTGGAAAAATACAAATGTAAACTCTCTCCCGTAGGTTAGTATGATTTTACTGATTCATAAGATACATTTTTATATGTTGCCATGTAGTCATGAATAAAGATGAAATATTAACACTATGAAATGATTTTTTTATGAAATGATTTTAATTGAAATGAATGGACTATGTGCAGTACTAGCAATTCTCGGTTCAAGTTAATGGAGGTAGACGGCATAGCATCCAAAATAGGAACCTCCACGTAATGTCAAAAAACTCATTTTAGCCTTTGGATATAATGTCCTGGGTATACTAAGAATGTCCTTTGGATATAATGTGACTTATAAACAAGTCACAAACTAGAATTTAAACTTTTCAAATTCTGTGCCCTTGTTCAAAAATGTGAAGAGAGCTATAGGTTGCTTACCTGTCCACAAACTGGGTAATTAATGAATGAGAGCTTCAGTATAGTTATTATGATGGTCCTTTAAGTTTATGTGTTCTTAGATACTACCTATATTTACACTAGTAAATATTAGTGATATGAAAACAGTTTCCATTTAACTGGAAAAAAATTAAACTATGAAAAACTAAAGTTTATCGACATAATTTATAATGGTTCTTGGCAGGTTCAGTCAGTTGTAATAATAAACATGAAGTATAGAAAGTTCCATGGCTTTATCTCCAGGAGCTCTGCGGACTTTCTGAGCCGGAGGAAGCGTGGAGACCTTCAGTCCGCTCATTTTACAGCCCAGGAAGTTCCCACCCCAGGGCTCCTCCATTACACTGGGCTTTCTTAGGGCAACATTTGAAAGAAAAAATATTCACAGAGCCATCACCTTACTGTTTGCTCTTCTTAGAAACGGGTAAAATCTGCCATTTCACATTTTACCCCTTGAAAGTATGTACAATGCCAATGTTACTCATTGTTTTTGCTTCTTATGCTTTCAATGCTCTCATGAAGAAGATACGTAGACCCTTCTGCACAAGAATGAGATGAACGCGATTATGACCTCACAAGCTCTCTCTTCCCACAGGCATGCTCGGAGCTAGTCTAAGTTCGTTGAGGGCAGGAAGTGAGATGCGCTTGACATTTCCAGCCCCCCGTGCAGTGTCTTCTCCTCGGAGAGACCTGCGGGGTGTCGGGGACAAGATGCTCAGTAATGAAAAGTATCCTCCAAAGACGTGTGAAAGGTGTCACAGCCCTGATGGGCATTGAATAATTGTTCATTTTAAGAGAGTTCTCCAAAAATCAAGCAGAGGCTGTGATAATGCGTTTTATTTACCAGAGCTTCCTTGGCATAACACCTGCAGAATAAATAACAAGTGATTTCATACTCATCTTAAGAGTAGCCATGCCCAAGGCTGTCTATTTCTCTAATGTCCCATGTCTCCTAACCCATTTCCTTATTCAATAGAACACAGAGGTAGGGACTTTATATTGTCTACCACTCCTAGCAATATTGCCAAGTACCAGAAGCTTAATGAATATTTTTTAGTTTATTTAGAAGGTGGTATTAAACTATTAAGAAAATCTTGTAGCTCCAGATATAAGCACCATCAAAAAGTGTCATCCAGGATCTACTAGTTGACTATGATCCAGAAAAGCACATAATGATAACAGATTATAACCAGCGTGGCCCTAGCCAGTTTGGCTCCGTGGATAGAGTGTCAGCCTGCGGATTGAAAGGTCCCGGTTCTATTCCGGTCAAGGGCACATGCCTGGGTTATAGGCTAGATCCCCAGTAGGGGACGTGCAGGAGGCCGCCGATCAATGATTCTCTCTCATCATTGATGTTTCTATCTCTCCCTCTCCCTTCCTCACTGAAATCAATAAAAATATATTTTTAAAAAAGATTATAACCAGTGCTGTCCAATACAGTAGCCGCTAAGCCAT